GGAGGCGATGGTCTGGATGGAGAGGACCTTGCCGTCCGCAGGCGCGGGCGGCAGCACCCAAGCAGCGAGGGAGAGGGAGGCGCCGTCGAGAGCGGCGCCCGCCGCGCGTAGCTCGACCTAAGGGGTAAAAAGGATAATAAAAGGAACTCGGGGGCACGGGACGCGGCACAAGGGGTAGGTGGGGTGTGGGCTCGTGTCGGTGTTAGCGCTCGGGAAGGGTGAGGGTGAGGGTGAGGGTGAGGGTGAGGGTGAGGGTGAGGGTGAGGGTGAGGGTGAGGGTGAGGGTGAGGGTGAGGGTGAGGGTGAGGGCGAGGGTGAGGGTGAGGGGGAGGGTGAGGGGGAGTGGGAGTGGGAGTGGGAGTGGGAGGGTGAGGGTGAGGGTGAGGGTGAGGGTGAGGGTGAGGGTGAGGGTGAGGGTGAGGGTGCGGGTGAGGGTGAGGGTGCGGGTGCGGGTGAGGGTGAGGGTGAGGGGGAGGGGGCAGGGGGAGGGGGAGGGGGAGGGGAGGGGGGAGGGCGCTCGTAGCTCGACCTTGTCAGACTTAGGGCGCAGCGACTTGAAGTCTCCCGCCATCGCAGAGCCAGACGCCGCCTGCCCAGAAAAGAAAAAAAACGTCCGCACGAGCCGCGCTTGTTTCTTTTTTCTGGCTCCCGCCAGCGCGGAGCCAGGGGACAGAGAGGCGAGCGGCCCACGAGGCGGTGCCGACCCGCATCGCCTCCTCCCCGTGTGTCTGCAGCCCGGCGACTGTGTGTGCGCCCCCGTCTCTGCCCCACGAGGCGGTGCCGACCCGCATCGCCTCCTCCCCGTGTGTCTGCAGCCCGGCGACTGTGTGTGCGCCCCCGTCTCTGCCCCACGAGGCGGTGCCGACCCGCATCGCCTCCTCCCCGTGTGTCTGCAGCCCGGCGACTGTGTGTGCGCCCCCGTCTCTGCCCCACGAGGCGGTGCCGACCCGCATCGCCTCCTCCCCGTGTGTCTGCAGCCCGGCGACTGTGTGTGCGCCCCCGTCTCTGCCCCACGAGGCGGTGCCGACCCGCATCGCCTCCTCCCCGTGTGTCTGCAGCCCGGCGACTGTGTGTGCGCCCCCGTCTCTGCCCCACGAGGCGGTGCCGACCCGCATCGCCTCCTCCCCGTGTGTCTGCAGCCCGGCGACTGTGTGTGCGCCCCCGTCTCTGCCCCACGAGGCGGTGCCGACCCGCATCGCCTCCTCCCCGTGTGTCTGCAGCCCGGCGACTGTGTGTGCGCCCCCGTCTCTGCCCCACGAGGCGGTGCCGACCCGCATCGCCTCCTCCCCGTGTGTCTGCAGCCCGGCGACTGTGTGTGCGCCCCCGTCTCTGCCCCACGAGGCGGTGCCGACCCGCATCGCCTCCTCCCCGTGTGTCTGCAGCCCGGCGACTGTGTGTGCGCCCCCGTCTCTGCCCCACGAGGTGGTGCCGACCCGCATCGCCTCCTCCCCGTGTGTCTGCAGCCCGGCGACTGTGTGTGCGCCCCCGTCTCTGCCCCACGAGGCGGTGCCGACCCGCATCGCCTCCTCCCCGTGTGTCTGCAGCCCGGCGACTGTGTGTGCGCCCCCGTCTCTGCCCCACGAGGTGGTGCCGACCCGCATCGCCTCCTCCCCGTGTGTCTGCAGCCCGGCGACTGTGTGTGCGCCCCCGTCTCTGCCCCACGAGGTGGTGCCGACCCGCATCGCCTCCTCCCCGTGTGTCTGCAGCCCGGCGACTGTGTGTGCGCCCCCGTCTCTGCCTCCACTTCTGCCCCACGGGGCGGTGCCGTGGTACTTTCGCGTGCTGGCTGTTCGGTATCTAGATGCCCTCTCTTCTGTGTGCGCGGCCCCGTGCCGGCCGCCCGCACTACGTCAACGGTGCATTCTAGAAGAAGCGAGCCTGTGCGCCAGCCGCGCCGCGGTCGCATCCCGGCTCCGACACCTTGCCGCGGGCCTGCTGCACCATCTTGATGCCGAGCGCCTCCATCGCCGGGTCGCTGCCGCCGCTGCGGCGGGGCGGGGCGGAGGCCGTCACGGCGAGGCGACGCGGAGCGGCAGGGAGCGGGGCGGGGCGGAGCCGTGTGCGCAGCGTGCCACGGGTGCGAAGAGGCGCTGTGCGGGCCAGCCGCTGTGCGGGCGATTCGCTGGCCCGCCAATGTGCTGGCCGGGCGCTTGGCGCCGCGCCTGGCGTGCTCTGCGTCGCCCCAGAGGAAGGAGAGGCCGTAAACGAGGAGCAGCGCTATAAAGAGCCACGGCAGCCGCCGCCGCACCGCCGCAAAGTTGGTCCCTCGTCGCCGCTTCGAGGAGAGCGGCCCGAAGGCGTCGCTAAAGTCGGAGTGCTGTCTCATGCGGGTCCTGGAGAGGAGAAGGCAGAACGAGAGCAGCGAGCGCCGCAGTGACAGGATATATGCGGCACCAAAAAGAGAATTCACATCGGCTAATCAATCCACGCCGAAAAATGGGGTCCCCAGGGTGGGCGACGGCTAGCGCACCACACTCCTCTCCTTAAAATCCCTGTGTGGTGGCGGCGTGCCGTTCTCCCATCCCTCCCTTGGGTTGTGTGTTTTCTTTCTTTCTTTCGAAAAATGGGGTCGTCGGTCCAGCGCAGCTCAAGCGCGCTGTTGCTGCCAGAGTTGCGGTCACGTCCCCGAAATCTTCGGCTCAAGGCCAACGCAACCATACGCATTGCTCCACTGCGGCAACTCAGTAGTCAGTAGCTACGCGTAAGACGTAACGCCTACGCACCGGTTCTGACACCCACACCACACGACCTTCGACCTCTTTGTCCACAAATCTCTAACCCCGTACGTACAGGATAAACATACGGTGTAACCCCGAGCACCATAACCCCTCCCCCCCGGGCGGCGTGCGGCGCGCTGCCATGCGCGCTGCGCGACCATACGCACCACAATTCGATTCATGAGTCGTCCGAGTCGTCATCCTCAGAGTCGCCCTCATCCTCGCCCTCCTCGCCCTCCTCGCCCTCCTCGCTCTCGCTCCCATCCTCGCACACAGCGGCACCTGGCGGCCAGAGGTCAAGCACGAGCTGCTTGAACTGCGTCAGGTCGAGCATGTCCTCCTCGTCCTCGAACTGGCCGTTGTACTCGGCCGCGCCCTCGTACAGCAAGTGGAGCGCGCGCCGCTCCTGCCGCGGTAGCGTGCGTGTGTCGAGGCCGCCCTCGTCGTCGGCGGCGGCGCACCGCGCCAGAAGCTCGTCGGACACCGCTGGAAGGAACTTGCGGCGTGGCAGGCCGCACTCAGCGAGCAACCGCACCATCGCCGCGGTCTGCTGCCAAACGTACCCGCCACGGATCCGCCGACGGCCGCGCGAGCCGTGGTACGCGAGCTCGTCGGCGTCAAAGTCGGGGCCAAGCCACGTCTGCTGGTACCTGGTGCATGCGGAGGCGGGGCCGAGATCGGGGCCGAGATCAGATGAACGGCGCGCATGAATAGGAGTGCATGCGTGAGAGGGGTGTGTATGGCGCGGCGCAACGCACTGGCGTCGATCGACGTCGTCCATCAGGTGGCGCCAAACGATCTCGCAGGGCGAGGCCGTCAGCCTGAGGCGCCCCTTGCGTCGAGGGAGGGCGTTGAGGGAGAGGCCGCAGCCGCCGGCGGCGCGCGGCGTGCAGAAGCACCGGACGACGTCGCGACGGTTGTGGTCCAGTGCGGTGAGGAAGGCTTCGAAGGTGATGTCGTCCTCCCACTCGCACGTGGCGCCCAGTCGCACGAGTGTCGCCATCACGTTGCAATGCCCGAGGTACGCGCCGAGCATGAGAGGGTTCCGCCGGATCTGCCACGGGGTGATGGCGCCGAAGAATGACCGGCGGCGGCGCGGGAAGGTGATGAACGCGTCGACCTTGACTTCCACGCCAACCTGCACACGCCGGCGCCCCGGGTTTTCGCGTCTCATTCTCTCTTCATACTTGCGGCGCGCGTCGAGGACTTGTGGCAGCATTCCGTCGAGGCCATATCGCACGCAATGCAGCCACGCGAAGCGCTGGTTGGTGCGCACCTGGCCCTTCTCGTGGCCGAGGTAGTGGCGAGACATCGCCGTCTGCACATTCCGGAGCCACGTGAGCGGCGGTTCGGCCTCCATGGCGGCGATCCGAGCGAGAGTGCCGGCACGCGAGCGTGGCGGATCGCCGCGGCCGCGGCCGCGGCCGCCCTTGCCACCGCCCTTGCCACCAAGCCCACCTTTGCCACCGCGCCCACCCTTGCCACCAAGCTTGAGAGGGGAAGAATCCCACCCTTCCCAGTCAGAGTCATCTCCACTTTCGCTATCACTTCCGTCCTGGTCCCGTAGGTCGCGTACGATGAGATAGTCGACGTTGCCCTCCAGCATGTCGATGAGCCCGCGCGCCCAACGATCGTCGATACTGTCTTGGCTTCTCCGTTCAATGGGTTCGCGCCCCCCAAGGTGGTCGCCATTGGGTGGCGGCTGCCATAGCCAAACGTCCGGACTCGACTCCTCGCCAGTGATGATGGCACGCGCTCGTGCCAGGAGCTCCTTGACCGGGCCGACGTCGGTGACGACGCGCGCAGCAAACTCAGGCGTGTTGAGGATGCTCCGGAGGTTGGTGCACGTCAGCGACAAACGGCAGTGGTCAAGTGAGTGGAGCATTGGGAGGAGGGCCACCTGGAGCTCGGGCGAGGCGAACAGCTCGGACGGCGAGGTGGCCGGCTCACCCGTCTGCGAACCCGACGCCGACGCCGCAGCGGACGCATGCCGAGTGCTGCGGCGCATCATCGTCCCTCGAGCGGCGCGAGCGGCGGAAAGTTGGACATCGCGAAGAAAAGAATTCCCGCTGCAGTTGGTGGGATCGCTTCTCATCCACCAGCCCGACGCTCACTACAAGTGAGGATGTGAATGCTGATTTTCTCTTTTTGGTGCCGCATATCCTGTCACTGCGGCGCTCGCTGCTCTCGTTCTGCCTTCTCCTCTCCAGGACCCGCATGAGACAGCACTCCGACTTTAGCGACGCCTTCGGGCCGCTCTCCTCGAAGCGGCGACGCGGGACCAACTTTGCGGCGGTGCGGCGGCGGCTGCCGTGGCTCTTTATAGCGCTGCTCCTCGTTTACGGCCTCTCCTTCCTCTGGGGCGGCGCAGAGCACGCCAGGCGCGGCGCCAAGCGCCCGGCCAGCACATTGGCGGTCCAGCGAATCGCCCGCACAGCGGCTGGCCCGCACAGCGCCTCTTCGCACCCGTGGCACGCTGCGCACATGGCTGCCGCCCGCCCCGCCCCGCTCCCTGCCGCTCCGCCTCGCCTCGCCGTGACGGCCTCCGCCGCCCCGCCCCGCCGCAGCGGCGGCAGCGACCCGGCGATGGAGGCGCTCGGCATCAAGATGGTGCAGCAGGCCCGCGGCAAGGTGTCGGAGCCGGGATGCGACCGCGGCGCGGCTGGCGCACAGGCTCGCTTCTTCTAGAATGCACCGTTGACGTAGTGCGGGCGGCCGGCACGGGGCCGCGCACACAGAAGAGAGGGCATTCAGATACCGAACAGCCAGCACGCGAAAGTACCACGGTACCGCCCCGTGGGGCAGAGGTGGAGGCAGAGACGGGGGCGCACACACAGTCGCCGGGCTGCAGACACACGGGGAGGAGGCGATGCGGGTCGGCACCGCCTCGTGGGGCAGAGACGGGGGCGCACACACAGTCGCCGGGCTGCAGACACACGGGGAGGAGGCGATGCGGGTCGGCACCGCCTCGTGGGGCAGAGACGGGGGCGCACACACAGTCGCCGGGCTGCAGACACACGGGGAGGAGGCGATGCGGGTCGGCACCACCTCGTGGGGCAGAGACGGGGGCGCACACACAGTCGCCGGGCTGCAGACACACGGGGAGGAGGCGATGCGGGTCGGCACCGCCTCGTGGGGCAGAGACGGGGGCGCACACACAGTCGCCGGGCTGCAGACACACGGGGAGGAGGCGATGCGGGTCGGCACCGCCTCGTGGGCCGCTCGCCTCTCTGTCCCCTGGCTCCGCGCTGGCGGGAGCCAGAAAAAAGAAACAAGCGCGGCTCGTGCGGACGTTTTTTTTCTTTTCTGGGCAGGCGGCGTCTGGCTCTGCGATGGCGGGAGACTTCAAGTCGCTGCGCCCTAAGTCTGACAAGGTCGAGCTACGAGCGCCCTCCCCCCTCCCCTGGCCCTCCCCCTCCCCCTCCCCCTCCCCCTCACCCTCACCCTCACCCTCACCCTCACCCTCACCCTCACCCTCACCCTCACCCTCACCCTCACCCTCACCCTTCCCGAGCGCTAACACCGACACGAGCCCACACCCCACCTACCCCTTGTGCCGCGTCCCGTGCCCCCGAGTTCCTTTTATTATCCTTTTTACCCCTTAGGTCGAGCTACGCGCGGCGGGCGCCGCTCTCGACGGCGCCTCCCTCTCCCTCGCTGCTTGGGTGCTGCCGCCCGCGCCTGCGGACGGCAAGGTCCTCTCCATCCAGACCATCGCCTCCACAAAGGCTTGCGCGAGAGATAGCCGAGATGTAGCCGAGATGTAGCCGAGATGTAGGCGAGATGTAGCGAGAGGCAGCCGAGAGGCAGCCGAGAAGCAGCCGAGAGGCAGCCGAGAGACAGCCGAGAGGCAGCCGAGAGGCAGCCGAGAGGCAGCCGAGAGGCAGCCGAGAGGCAGCCGAGAGGCAGCCGAGAGGCAGCCGACGGGCAGCCGAGAGGCAGCCGAGAGACAGCCGAGAGACAGCCGAGAGACAGCCGAGAGACAGCCGAGTGACAGCCGAGAGGCAGCCGAGAGGCAGCCGACGGGCAGCCGAGAGGCAGCCGAGAGGCAGCCGCGATAGACAGCCCATCGCCGCCTCGACTATCAAGGATGACTTCGGTGTCCCCCCCCTCCAGGCCTCCGGCTGCGCCGTCGACGCGGATCACCGGGGCGTCGCCGTCTTCCTCCACGAAAAAGAAATACCGCGGATAACGCCCACACAGAAGAAAAAACGCGTTGTTGTAGGCGTCGCCGTCTTCCTCCACGAAAAAGAAATACAGCGGCGACGCCTACACAAAAGAAAAAACGCGTCGTTGTAGGCGTCGCCGTTTTCCTCAACGAGTGGCAGACCAATTCGGGCCAGCTCTCCCTAGAAGCTTCTAGCGGAGGACGCACTCTTGAGCTCCAACCGGTCCTCGAGAGGGCACGGACTCCGCCGTATTCGACCGTATTCGTTCTGCGTTCCGCTGTATTCGCAGCCGGCGGTGTACTTACGCGGTGCTCTGAAGACACCGCGCAAGACACGTCCTCCCGCCCTCATGTCGGCGTCTTCACAACGTAGGCCAGCTCTACCTCTCGTGGGGCTCCGCCGCGTCGGGCTGCGAGGAGATCGCCACCGCGGTGAACAGCGTCAAGCCAGGCCGCCGCGCGCACGCCACACACACACACACACACACACACACACACACACACACCGCCCACACACACACCGCCCACACACACACCGCCCACACACACACCGCCCACACACACACCGCCCACACACACACCGCCCACACGACGCACACGCACGCAAGCATACACACACACGCACACTCATTCACACTCACTCACTCACGGCCAGGCCGTTGGACGCACGTCGCTGCGACGCTGTCGGCGTCGCGCGCGCGGCTGTACGTCGACGGCGAGCTCTAGCCGAGACCCCGCCGAGATTCGGCCGGGTGCATAAGTACGATGGCGAGGCGCAGCCAAGGTGTAGCCGAGGTGCAGCCGTTGTGAATCCCCATCACCAGGGCCTTTTGGGCACGCACCCCAACCTCTCATAGACTATAGCGCGCAGCGCCATAGCACGCAGCTTCTTCTTAGTACCAAGGCTTGTGAGCAGGCGAGCTGCTCGCGGACTCGGAGCGGGACGGCAGCGGCAAGCTGCTCGGGGTGCGAGACACGTCCGAGACACTTCCGAGACACTTCCGAGACACTTCCGAGACACTTCCGAGACACTTCCGAGACACTTCCGCGTGGCGACCTTCCAAGGCGTCCCGGCCGTGCGGCTGGCGATCGTGGGACACCGTTCCCCACGTCGGCCGCCGGTCGGCCTACTCGACGGATGAGTACCTCATGCATGGCCGTTAGGTGGACAACTTTCACCACGGCGGAGACCAGTCCGCCGGGGTGTCGGACCGGCTCTTTCGCGGCGGGGAGACGGCGCTCCGCGTCGGCGCGCAATGAGAGGAAGAGAGAGAGAGAGGAACAGAGTGGGAAAGAGAGAGAGAGAGCGCATGCGGACGGCACGCGCCCGTATCATTCATGCAGTCCTTATTGCATCCATTCGTGTCCGTTGCCAGGCGCGCATGCGGACGGCACGCACCCTCTGCATGGGCTGATTGCGCAGCTGGCCGTTTGGCCGACGGAGCTGGACGCGTCGCAGGTCGGTACTTCGGCCATACCTCGGCCATACCTCGGCCGCACTTCGGCCATACCTAGGCCACATTTCGGCCACACTCCGGCTACATTTCCTTATCGCTCTGCGATACGTCGACGATACCTCGGCCACACGTCGACGGCGCCTCTGCTGCCATCCCGCCCTCACTTCGGCCCTACGAAGCTCGCAGGTTGCGGCGCTGTCATGCGGCGCACCTCCCGACGGCGCCGTCGCCGGCACCCCCTCGCGCTTGCCTCCGCCGTCGCTCAACCTCTCCTTCACCCACACGGGAGGGCGGTCGCTGCCCGAGGGGAGCCTCTCCGGTGTTGACGAGCTGGAGACGGTGCCGATCGCGCAGGTGGTGCCTAAGGAGGACGTGGCGATCAGCGCGCGCTACGTGCCGCCCAAGGCGGACGTCGCCGCCGCCGCCGCCGCCGCCGCCCCGGCCAAGGCGGGCTGGCCGCTGCCTTGGCTGCCGCCGCGCACGTTGCGGCGAGGGACGGAGGCGGAGGTGAACGCGTCCGATGCGCTGGCACGGGTGCGGCTGGAGGCGGTGCGCGGCGCGTTCAAGCGCGCGTGGGGGGCGTACCGGAAGCACGCGTGGGGCATGGATGAGATCAAGCCAATCAGCAACAAGTCGCACGACTGGCTGCACTTGGGCGCGACGATGATCGACTGCCTCGACAATCTGTGGATCTTCGGGCTCAAGGCCGAGTTTGACGAGGCCAAGGAGTGGGTTGCGACCAAGCTCAGCTTCAGCCGCGCGGTGGGCATCTCGATGTTTGAGACGGTGATCCGGATCATCGGCGGGCTGCTCTCGGCGTTTGAGCTGTCGCGCGAGGCGGTGTTCCTCCGCAAGGCGGAGGAGCTGGCCGGCCTGATGATGTACTCGTTCAAGGCCAACCCCGAGACGGGCGTGCCCTGCACCACCATCTCGCTCGACGGGTCGCGCCGGTGCACCTTCCCCACGTGGACGCAGCGCAACGCAATCTTGGCCGAGTTTGGGACCATCCAGCTCGAGTTCAAGTACCTCGCGCACCACACCGGCCGCAAGGAGTTTTGGGAGGTCGCGGAGCGCCAGATCCGCAACGTGCGCGGCCGGACGCAGCCGGCCGGCCTGTACCCAAACTTTATGTCGCCGAAGACGCTCCGCTGGACGACGACCAAGGTGTCGATGGGCGCGCTCGCGGACTCGTTCTACGAGTACCTGCTCAAGCAGTGGCTGCTCACGCAGCGGACGGAGCCGTACTTGCGCACCATGTTCGACGAGGCGATGCTTGGCATGGCGCGGAGCATGGTCGCGCGCTCGACGCCGTCCGAGCTGGTCTACATCGCCGACTACGTGAGCGAGGGGAAGCTCGTGCACAAGATGGACCACCTCGCCTGCTTCGCCGGCGGGATGCTCGCGGTGGGCGCGCAGCACGGCGGAGAGTTCGACCGCGAGTACATGACGCTCGCCGAACGGATCGGGGAGACGTGCTACGAGTTTTACCGGCGCACGACCAGCGGCCTCTCGCCCGAGTTCATGTCGTTCGTCGGCGGCTCCGATCCGAAGGTGCCGCGCAACGCCGCGTACAACATCGGCTTATCTCCCCATATCTCCCCATATTTCCCCATATCTCCCCATATCTCCCCATATCTCCCCATATCTTCCCAAGGTGCCGCGCAACGCCGCGTACAACATCGGCCGGCCTGAGGCCGTCGAGACTTTCTTCATCATGTGGTACTACACCCGCGACCCAAAGTGGCGCGAGATGGGCTGGGAGGTCTTTTCGAGCTTCGAGAGGCACGCGAGGACGCCGTCGGGCTGGGCGGCGCTGAAGGACGTCAACAACCCGGCCAAGCTCGACGACAAGATGGAGTCGTTTGTGCTGGCCGAGACGATGAAATACCTGTTCCTGCTCTTCGACTCATCGTACCCCATCCCGCTCGACAAGTACGTCTTCAACACCGAGGCGCACCCGCTCGGCACCTTCGACGCCTCCGCCTTCACCTCCGCCGCACCGCCGAAGAGGAGATGACACGCCCGCGGCGGCCGATCGGCGTGGCGGCCGGCGCCGCCTCTCCGCGCCCCTGCCGGCGCGCTCGGGTTGCCGTGGCATCAGTCTCACATCGCGAGGAGCCGCAGCACTTGCGCGCCGCGCCGTCGTGCGCCGGACCGCGGAAGCCCCACAGCCTCCTGTGCCGTTCTGTTTGTACGTAGTCCTCGCCTTCTCTCTTCCTCGGCCGATGGGAGACGGACAGAGTGAAACATGTTGAAGAATCGTATTCGTTTGGCGAGGAATCTAGCCAGCAGGGCCCCGCCGGCACAGGCCATGCAGCCTTAAGCTCAGGCCTCAGCCACAGCCCACCTACCACGCGCAGGGTCCACCGAGACGCGAGAGAGGTCAGAGCGCACAGCCACACACTGGCTGACCCACAGGCCCCCAGCCCCCAGCTGCGAGGCTGGTGCATTTGCGACACGCAGATTACCATGCAGAAGACGCCGGTGTCGCTGACCCGCGGCCTAATCCCCCTGAACGACTACGCAGGCGCAAATGTTACTGGTGCTCCGACTGTCCCTCTCCTCTGCGGGTGTACGTTGACCCTCCCTATGCTCCCCAACAAGGCACAAGGCACAAACTGTGCTTCACCGAACTCGATGCAGAGCACCCTGTGCTGCCCCAGCAACAAAGCATGAAACCTGGTGGAGGACGACGGGTGCTGTGTCTGCGCCACGTCGTGGAGATTTATGATGTGAAGAGATCTTCTTGGAGCATGGAGGCATCTATGCATGGACCATTAGAGCGAACGCGCGTGAAGCCATCCCCGGGCCGAGGGTGCGGCCGATCTGCGAAAGGCTATTGATCTCCTGCGCCTGCGCCTTTGCTGGTGAGACACCTGGTGTGGCATTTTCTGCCCTCAATACCCTCATCGCGGCGTCTGGCCAGGGACGGGGTGGCGCGTTCCAGGGTCGAGGTGCTTGATGACAAGCTGATATTGAGCTTGGTAACTGGCATAGCCGGAGGCGAACGCGATGCCTACATATGGGGTATTGGTTCGAGCAGGAATCGCCGCTGGCCTAACTTACAGCGCACAACCGACGCTTGGTGCTGACAGAGGTAGCATTCCATGGGCAGCATCCTCGTGTGCTACACGCTGTCCGAGGCGAAGGAGCACGCAGCCACCGCCGATGGCCAGCGGGGGGAGGGCCAAAGCTGGCACCAATGCCATGTCACGTATGCACTGGGCGCGCCGCGAGACGGGCGAAGATATGCGCGCGTCCCTCTTCCTGGCCCCCGGGGTACGGGTGAGTCTTGACAAAGCCTTTGCCGGGCTGAGCGTAGTGGCTGTGTCGGCGGGGCGGGCGCACAACCTAGCTGTCACAGCCGACGGAGGTGCCTGGAGCTGGGGGAGCGGTGGGTGCGGCATGCTCGGCCACGGGTGCGAGGAGAACCAACTGTATCCAAAGCGGATCGAGGCCTTTGGCGCATATCGTGTCGTGTCCGTCTCGTCGGGAGACAACTGCAGCTTCGCCGTCACCGCCGACGGCGCTGTTTGGTCGTGGGGAATCGGGGGCGACTGCTGCTTAGGACACGGCAGCCACGAGAAGCTCCGACGGCCCTCCAAGATTGAGGCCTTGATCGGCCAGCGCGTCGTCGCTGTATCGACTGGCTACGCGCACGTCCTCGCCCTCACCGCCGACGGAGCCGTCTGGTCTTGGGGCGTCGGATACGCTGGCCAGCTTGGCCACGGAGACCGGGAGAATCGGCTGCAGCCAGAGCGCGTGCAGGCTTTGGCAAGCTGCTGCGTTGTTGGCGTGGCAGCTGGCACCAACCACAGCCTCGCCCTCGGGGCCCACGGCACCGCATGGAGCTGGGGCAAGGGAGAATTCAATAGATGCGGAACATGCATTGCCGCATTGTACGATGCGCCCCTCTCGATACCTTTTCACTCACTGACACTGTCCTTTGTCTGCTCACAGGGGCCGATTGCTGCCTTGGCCACGGGGCGGATCAGTCCTACCAGTCGCTTCCAAAGGTGATTGAGGCGTGGAAAGGTGGGAGGAGCGTGTGAGGTGTGAGACTATTGACTTCTACGTGCTACATTTTGACCTCTCGCTGTTTTTGCTTTTTGATGACGCTGCTGAATTGACGATTTGTCCTAGTGCGGCGAGTCTACGAAGGCTACGCCCTTTTAGCCTATGCCGAAAGGATGTTTCACGCCGGGAATTCTTTTTCTCGCGATGTCCACCCCGCCGCGTCGCCGCTCGCGCCGCCTCGCCCCCGCCGCCGCCTCCGCCAGATCCTCGCAAAACACGCCGCCGCCCACCCGCCTCCTCGACCTCCCCACGGAGCTCCTCGCGCGCGCCCTCTCTCACTGCAACAGCCCCGCCGACATCGCTCGCGTTGCGGCCGTCTCGCTGCTCTTCCACGCCTCGCTGGCGCTGGAGGGCATCCGCTTGTGGGCGCAAGAGCGCGGCTTCGAGCTGCCGGCGCAGCCCGAGGGCGAGAGCTGCGCCGTGCGGTGGCTGTGCTATTCGGCGCTGCTGCGCGAGTCCAACCCGCCTGCGAGGGCAGCGGCAGGTGATCGGCACAGCCTCTTCATCGACGGCGAGGGGCGGCTCTCGTCGTGCGGAAAGGCTGAGAGCTGGATGCCGGCCATTCTCGGGCACGGCGAGGGCGTGACGCAGCTCAACACGCCGACTCGCCTCCCTTCCCCACTGAGCGGCGAGCGCGCCGTGAGCGTGTCGGCTGGAGCCGGGCACAGCCTCGCCCTCACCGCCGGCGGCGCTGTCTGGAGCTGGGGCAGTGGAAACTTGGGCCAGCTGGGCCACGGCGACGAGCAGAACCAGTGGCAGCCCGAGAAGATCGAGGCCTTTGCTGACCAGCGCGTCGTCGCCGTGTCGGCTGGAGGGGCTCACAGCCTCGCCCTCACCGCCGATGGAGCCGTCTGGAGCTGGGGCGGTGGAAACTTTGGCCAGCTAGGCCACGGCAACCAGCAGGAGCAGCTGCTGCCCAAGCAGGTCGAGGCCTTAGCTGGCCAGCGCGTCGTCGCTATGTTGGCTGGAGCCATGCACAGCCTCGCCGTCACCGCAGACGGCACCGTCTGGAGCTGGGGCAATGGTCTCTACGGCAAGCTGGGCCACGGCGACGGGCAGACCCAGCTGCTGCCCAAGAAGATCGAGGCCTTTGCTGGCCGGCGCGTTGTCGCTGTGTCGGCTGGAGCCCGCCACAGCCTCGCCCTCACCGCCGACGGCGCCGTCTGGAGCTGGGGCGGTGGAGGCTTTGGCAAGCTGGGCCACGGCGACCAGCAGAACCAGCTGCTGCCGAAGAAGGTCGAGGCCTTGGCTGGCCGGCGCGTCGTCGCTGTGTCGGCTGGAGGCGGGCACAGCATCGCCCTCACCGCCGACGGCGCCGTCTGGAGCTGGGGCGATGGAGGCCGTGGCATGCTGGGCCACGGCGACGAGCAGAACCGGCCGCTGCCCAAGAAGGTCGAGGCCTTTGCTGGCCAGCGCGTCGTCGCTGTGTTGGCTGGAGGCCACCACAACCTCGCCCGCACCGCCGATGGCGCCGTCTTCACGTGGGGCCAGGGCGAGCGCGGCTGCCTCGGCCACGGAGAGGACCTGTCGAACCAGCTGCTGCCCAAGAAGGTCGAGACGTGGGCGCCGGGGCAGTGAGAAGCCCGCGCAGTTGGACAAGGAGGGGATGCTCCGGCTTCTCGCGGCGCTCTCAACGAGGAGAGGATTCGGTTCGGCGTCACGGCGGGGCCGAGCCCGAGGGTGGGTGCGGCGGCGGTGGCGGCGGAGGCGGCGGAGGACGTGGCTGGTGTTGGCTGAGGCCGTCGCGGAGGGGGCGACCGCCGAGGCTGCGGCGGAGGCTGCTAGGGCGGGGGTGGAGGCGGCGACCGCCGAGGCCAATCGGTCGGCCGTGGCAGCTCGCTCTGGTGCGGCGGCCCGGCTCGGCGTTCGCCGGGCTGGTCGGCGACACTCTAGAGAGGGCGCAGGAGCGGGGAGTAGGCAGCATATGAGGGGGGTCGCTCGAGCACTTAAAAAAATTGCTTTAGAAGAAAAACGGGCACGCATAGTCTCCCCCTCCATTCCCTCCCCCGAGGTACCCTGCCTAGGAGTGAGAGAGATCAGGGGAAGCCCCACCATGGGGCTTGGGGGGCGGTCCTCGCACCTCGGGGGAGGGGGATTGATAATGTGTCATTATTGGGTACCCCTAGCATGTGGTGAAGCCTCTGGGGGGGGGTCGGACCCCCCCCCAGCATGTGGTGGGCACCCCCCAGCAGTTCGTGGGCTAGGAATAGCCGCCAGAGAGCCGATTTTGCCCCCAAAGTTGTGAAATCGTGGCTGAAAGTCCAATATCTTGGAGAACCTGACCAGAGAGTCTCAAGGCTCATGTAGCTCCAAAAGATGATTTTCCCCTCGAAAATGCTGCGAAATGAGGCGTAAAATCAAGGGCCCGGAGGGCCTGACCACGAGTCTCTGGGGGGGGTCCTCGGCCATGACCCCCCCCCTAGCATGTGGTGAAGGTGCTGGGGGGGGCGGGACCCCCCCCTAGCATGTGGTGAAGGTGCTGGGGGGGGTCGGACCCCCCCTCAGCTTCTGGCGCGCCCGCTCTTGGATGAGCTCGCGGACGCGCTGCTTTGCCTCCAAGACACGCGCGGCCACCTCGGGGTGCCGCATAGGCGCGCCTGGCATCGCAGCGCTTGTCGCAACGACGTGAGTCGAGAGAGGTCCGACGGCCTGCGGCGGGCACTCTCCACCTCAAACACCCAGTCCCACCTCGGGCAGATCTTTCGGGCACCCCCACCCTACACGCCATACAGGCTAGCCCCAGTCCTACGGCTCTGCGAGAGGACTGAGTACTCGATGAATTCAGCCACAAACGCTGCGGAATGAAAACAAAACGCGCTGACAAAACAAGAGAGGTTCAAGACAACGCCCAAATACGGCTTTGCTATTTGAGATCTGAAAGACGATGTGCGGCGCTAGCGGAGCCGGCCGCACGCACCAGCAGGGGGGGCGCCTCCCCAAGCGCCTCCCTCCCCCTCCTCTCGCCCACCGGACAATACTCGCGCTTGATCGCGCTGACCGGGCAGCGGCCGCCGCCGCCGCCGAGCTGCGCCATGTTCCTCTCGGCGCCCGCCACCTGCCCGCCCCCCCCCAGCAGCGCGAACCCGCGCGGCCGGCCCGTCGCGAGGTCCGCCGGCCGCATCGCGTCGTAAAGGTGGGGAAGCTCCACCTGTAGATGCGCGAATCGCCGCTACTTTCGCGGCTAGCTCTTGGCTATCTCTCGACTATACCTCGGCTACATTTCGGCTCCATCTCGGCTGTATCTCGGCTCCGTACGGAGGAAGGAAGCGCGCAATCTCCCCATATCTCCCCATGTCTCACCCAGTACAGAGGCAGAGTGAAGCGCGCAATGTCCATCTCCCCATATCTCCCCATACCTCCCCATCTCTTCCCATACCTCCCCATGTCTCACCCAGTACGGAGGCAGCTTGAAGCGCGCAATGTCCATCTCCCCATCTCTCCCCATCTCTCCCCATCTCTCCCCATCTCTCCCCAGATCTCACCCAGTACAGAGGCAGCTTGAAGCGCGCAATGTCCATCTCCCCATATCTCCCCATACCTCCCCAGATCTCCCCAGATCTCACCCAGTACGGAGGCAGCTTGAAGCGCGCAATGTCCATCTCCCCATATCTCCCCAGATCTCCCCAGATCTCACCCAGTACGGAGGCAGCTTGAAGCGCGCAATGTCCATCTCCCCAGATCTCCCCATCTCTCCCCAGATCTCACCCAGTACGGAGGCAGCTTGAAGCGCGCAATGTCCAGCACGAGCGCAGAGTCGGAGGGCGGGTGGTACGCGGCGAGCGGCGAAAAGTGGCCGGTCCCTAGGGGGGGAGATATGGGGAGGTATGGGGAGGTACAGGGAGGTAAGGGGAGATGTGGGGAGGTGTGGGGAGATGTGGGGAGATGTGGGGAGATGTGGGGAGATATGTGGAGACGGGGAGATGTGGGGAGAGATGGGGAGAGATGGACGTGCACGCGGGCTGCCGCGGGGGGCGAGGAGTGGGAGAAGAATTGATGCTAGCTCTAGCTATCAGGAGTCTGTTCTCATCGTATGTCGTGGGTGAGCTGAGTAGCGGCGTAGGGGAACACCGTCAGAGGGAGAGTGTGCAAATCAGAGTGTGCAATCGGGAGGACTCTGGAGGAAGAAGGACTCGGGAGGAATCGGGAGGACTCTGGAGGACTCTGGAGGACTCTGGAGGACTCTGGAGGACTCTGGAGGACTCTGGAGGACTCTGGAGGCCGGGCGCCGGTCTGGCCCAATGCGGTGCGTAGAAAGGACACGACGAGATGCGGCGGCGCCTAAAGTGTGAGAGATGGGGAGATACGGGGAGATGTGGGGAGATGTGGAAGGACACGACCAGATGCGGCGGCGCCTAAAGTGAAGTAGCAGCGGGCAGTGTGCAGACCCGAATCTGCACGCCCGGGGCCAGATGCGGCCGGCGGCGCCGATTCGGAGCAAGCCGCAATCACCGACGCGCGGAACGAGTCGACCGTGCATCGCCCCTCGCCCCAGCGCGGCTGCTGCAGCGCCGCCGCCGCCGCCGCCGCCTCCGCCGCCGCCTCCGCCTCCGCCTCCGCCGCCGCCTCCGCCGCCACCGCCGCCACCGCCGCCTCTGCCGCCACCTCCGCCTCCGCTGCCTCCGCCTCCGCCGCCACCGCCGCCTCTGCCGCCACCACCGCCTCCGCCGCCTCTGCCGCCACCTCCGCCGCCTCTGCCGCCACCTCCGCCTCCGCCTCCTCCGCTCTGCTGCTCTCTGCGAGTGGTGGCGGGCGGTAGACCTGAAGAGAAGGGGGGGGGGGGGGGGGGTGCGGCCGCGTGAGAAGCAGGACGCTGTCCACCGCACCGCCACGGTACCTGAACCCACACGGAGCCCACACACCGGGTTCGGTACTCTGGAGGTGTGGTACTGGGTGACCACCGGCGGGCAGTCGGAGGGCTGCGGGCAAGGTGTGCCGTGGCAGAGCGTCCAGGGACTGCACGGGCAGGTCGCGCAGCGGCTGGGCATGCATGCAGGCAGGGGTGTCTAGCGGCGGCGGCGGTGCAGCAGCGGCTGGGCATGCATGCATGCAGGGGTGTCTAGCGGCGGCGGCGGTGCAGCAGCGGCTGCTGGGCATGCATGCGGGCGGGGGTGTCTCGGAAGCGGGGGTGTCTCGGAAGCGGCGGCGGCGGCGGTGCGCGGTGCTGTGAGACAGTCCGCGCCGTGGGCGTCCTCGCCGGGCATACACATGCGTGTGTGTGCGCAATCAGACGGGACGATGCGGCCACCCCCGGACCCGCTTTCTCTGTTGTGCCGCTGCTGTTGCTGCTGCTGCCCCCACCGCTGCTGCTGCTGCTGCTGCTCCTGCTGCGACTTCTGCTGCCGCTACTGCTGCTGCTGCCCCCACCGCTGCTGCCGCTACTCCTGCTGCTGCCCCCACCGCTTTCTCTGTTCTGCCGCTCTTCTGAGGCCGCACCTCGACCCGCGCGCCCTGGCAGCGGCCGAGCGCCGCAAACTCGTCCAGGGTGATGCCCTCGGCGGTGATGGCGTGGAGCGGCTTGCAGCAGCTCGCGGCGAGGGTGTGCTCGTCGTACCACCGCCACCCGCCCTTCCACGTCGTGTTCGGGTCGATGCGCAGCGCGTTGAGCACCATGGCGAGACACGACGGCCCGCAGAACGCCGGCTCGCCCTGCGTGATGAACTGCTCCGAGAGGGGGAAGTAGCCCTCGGCGGTGCCGCCGCCCACCGCCTCGAGGAAGCGCCGCTTCCCCTCCCGCGACGAGAAGGAGACCAGCCGCTCGGGCAGCTCGCGCTGGTAGAACGAGCGGCGCGCCAGCGGGTCGACGGCGTCGGAAGGCCCCTGCCCGACGTCGCTGCGCCGCTGCGCGCAGCCGTCGCACTTTGAAGGGGCGGCGGCGAAGTGCGATGCGCGGACGCGGCGCGCGAGGCTGCCCACGCGGGACAGGGCCTGCATGGCGCGAGCCCCGGAGGATGGGGACTTGCGCTGCGGAAAAGAATTTTACTTCAGCGGTCGAAACCTCTCCTTAAAATCCTTCGGCGTGCCGTCCTCCCATCCCTCCCTTGGGTTGTCTGTTTTCTTTCTTTTACCTCCTGTATCTTTCCCCCCTGGGCGGGGCGGGGGCCGGGGGGGCGGCGGGCGCGGGTGCTGGTTGCGGCAACTTGGCATTTTTTCGTCTTATCCTTTCGCCTGCGGAAACGACCAGCTTTCCCTAGATGTCCCCAGCCGGAAGCTCCGATGTGTTTATCACCGTTTGCCCGAGGGAGGGGGGGGGGCGGGCCTCACCCAGGGCTCACCGGGGCCCGGCCGTCCCCGCCCCCTACATCGGCGTACCCGTGAGTTCGAGCGCGGGGCGAGGCGGACCGCGCACCCATTTCCCGGCAAAATCGTTACGGGGTTTTTAAAGGCAGAGGATGTTACCACAGCCTACCACAGGCTAAGAGCACCGTTTCAACCCAAGGGAGGGATTGGAAGACGGCAACCCGCCACAAAATTTTTCTCGACCCCCTACGTGGCTCAGCCCGCGGTCCGATGTGTGCGAGAGGAAGACCATCTCTTGTGACTGCGACATGCCGGGGTGTGGGTAACCTGGCTATGGGCGCCGGTGCCGGCACGCCGCAGCCCGCACGCGCGGTGGGCGAAAGAAAGAAAGAAAGAAAACAGACAAACCCAGACGAGGGATGGGACGAGGACAGGGTCCCCACCTGCACGAGCAGGATTTTGGAAGGACGATCAGGGGGACAGGTGGGGCTCTCCTGCTCCTGACAAGGGACACGACAGGCTCGCAGCGCGGTGCACGGTGGGCTCCCAACTCCACTGGCGGTCTCATCTCAGTCTAGCGACCTGCCTCCAGCTTCCCGCTGGCAGTCTCTCACTACCACAGGCACACTGACACAGGGGTGGCAGGGGCGGCGGCAGGAGTCACCCACATTACTATGCGGGCCTCACTAGAGGTGCGTCCTGTGTCGTGTCCTCGTCCTTGATGTCTTGCGGGGGAAGGGGAATGGGCTGTGCCTGTGGGCCTGAGTTTTCTTTTGTTGTCAAAGAAAATAAGGTCACTGCTGCAATCGTGAGACGCCACAAGCGGGGAGCCGCCGCACACCAAGGGTGCCGCCGCCAACAACACCAACGGCGACCGCGCGGCGACGCGATCTCGGCTTGCACGATCAACCGCCATGCCATTGGCAAACTCACTCGCTGTTACGCTGCTGGCGGTAGCTTGCACATCCTCGGCGCCGCGCCTCGTCCCGCTCACGCTCCTCCTGCTGGCGGGTCGAAGCGAGGCCGCGGGCACGATCTGCGACAACAACGTGCGATGCTTCTCCGGCTGCCCTACCGGCGTGTATGGCACGTCGCTGTGCGACGGCACCTACACGGGTACCTCGGTGGGTCTGTACAACCAAGGGCTGTCGGGGACGATACCTCCGCAGCTGGGCGGCATCTCGCAGCTGGAGACCCTTATTATGTCCTTCAACTCCATCTCGGGCACCATCCATCCGCAGATGGGCAAGCTCTCGCAGCTGGAGAGGCTTTACCTGGGCATCAACTCCATCTCGGGCACCATCCCCTCGGATATCGGCAAGCTCTTGCTGCTGGATAACCTTCAGCTGTACAACAACTCCATCTCTGGCACCATCCCTGCGGATACGGGCAAGCTCACGAAGCTGAGGTACCTTTACCTGGAGAACAACGACATTTCGGGCACCATGCCGTCACAGCTCAACAATGTGCCGCTGACGTACTGCAGCCTAGGCGGCACCAACCAATTCGCCTGCCCCTTGCCCGTCCTTCCCGACGCTTGCACCTCAGGCCAGTTCTACCCTCTGAGGTGCAGCTACACGCCGCCCTCGCCGCCCTCGCCGCCCTCGCCGCCCTCGCCGCCCTCGCCGCCCTCGCCGCCCTCGCCGCCGCCCTCGCCGCCGCCCTCGCCGCCCTCGCCGCCCTCGCCGCCCTCGACCCCGCCGCCCTCGCCGCCCTCGCCGCCGCCAACGCGAGACATCTGCGGCAACGAGCCTGCGATTTGCGACGGCTCATACACCGGCACCACTCTGGACCTCTCGAACCGCGGCCTCACGGGCTCAATCCCAGCGGAGCTGGCCGACCTCGACTCGCTGCAGCTACTCGACCTGCGCAACAACCGACTCGCGTACCCGCGTAGCAGCGAGGCCCGCGTCGAGTACGATTTAGCCACCAGCATCTGCCGCGGCGCAGGAAGTGCCGAATGCCTCGGCGTCCCTCCCGAGAGCTGTAGCGCCTTTCTCAACGCGCAGCTATCTGTCGCCGACCCCAACGAGTGCGTGGTCTGCGACAACCAGACTACTGGTTTTGTCCTCGTCGGCGTCTGCATCCTCATCGGCATCATCGCCCTCGCCGCCTTCGTCCGCTTCGTCGTCCGCAACCCCTGGGCCCTCAAGCGGTGGGTGTCCACCGCTGCCATCCTCATCAATCACGCCCAGACGGCCAGCATCATCGCAAGCATGCGCCTCGAGTGGCCTCGCTCCCTCGTTGCGATCGCCTCCGCGCTCAAGCTCGACCTGCTCATGCTGCCCGGCGCCAGCTGCCTTGTTGGGGGAGAGGGGGCGTTCGAGGCGTTCACGCTCTGCGCCTCTTCTGCCATACTCATGCTGTTGCTCGCGCCACTCGTCGTTAAGCACGTCGTCCTCTCGCCAGCTATCGCCGACACTGCGGAGCTCGTCCTGAGCCTGATCTACTCGCTGCTCTTCACCTTTGCATGGGGTCTAGTGCTAGAGTATATGGCCTACGTGGCTAGCTACCACGACTACGGTCTTCCTCGCCCCGGTCCTGCTCTCGGCACCGTGCCGGTGCTGGGCGCGTTGATGCTGGCTCTCTTGATCCGCTTCTTTGGCAACGTCCTCGCCTTCAAGCGCGGCGTCGAAAGTGGCGTTTGGCGGCGCCCGAACTCGAGTGGAGGTTCTGCTTGCTGCGGCACGGGCCCCATTCCTCCCCGCCGGCTCGAGCGGCAAGTTGCCTACCTCGTTGGCCGCTTCGCTCCTCATGCTCCCCGCTGGCAGGTCGTCATCTGGCTTCGGCAGTTCCTTCTTCTCCTCCTCGCCTTCACCAGCAACGTCCTCTTCAATAAGGGAGAGAAGACGTTCGACGCCGGCCGCTACGCCGTTGCCGCCGTTGCGATCGCCGTCACCCTCGTCTTTTGGCGCCTCAACCGCCGCGCCCTGCCCTTCGCCTTCCGCTTCCAGAACGCGCTCGAGTCGTGCCTCTACGGCGCCACCGCTCTCTTCCTCGCCCTCGCCATGGTGTACGCCGCGCTGCCCGCCGACCCCGTCGCCCTGCGAGTGACCATCGAGGTGCTCATGGCGACAGTCCTTCTCGGCAGCCTCATCGTCGGCGCCGTCTACTCGCTCCGCGAGCTTCGGCGGATGCGGCGCGCGCTCGCTGACGTCGACCTCTCCGCCGTCCTCTCCGCCGCCGACTCCAAGATCGACGTCTCGATCGCGGAACGGCTGCGCGACGGCTCGGTGCGGCTGCTCCGCTGCAGCTGGCTGGCATCGCCCTCCTCCGACGCGTTCCTCGGCCGCGACGCCTCTGGCGCTGTCATCATGAAGCGTAGACAGGACCTGCCACAGGAGGCTTTTGTGCCATGCGACGAGGCGATTGCGATGCTCGAGCGAGGCGACCGGTCTGTCCTAGCGCTCTCTTACGGCTGGCTGACGGCGCTGCACCCGGACCCCCATGGCACCACCCTTGCCGCCGTCCGCCGCTTTCTCTCTTACGACGCGGCAAGTGCGGCGGCCGACGACACCAAAGCCAGCGACACGGGGCTCTTCTGGGACTTTTGCAGCCTTCCGCAAAAGGGGCCCAACGGGGAGGAGAAGACCGAGGAGGAGAAGACCATGTTCGGGCGAGGCCTCAAAGTGATGGGGAACTTCTACGCGAGCATCACGGGCACCTCCGTCATCCAGCAGCGCAGCATCGACCTCCCGCCTGGCGCGACCACCGGTTTCGGACCGGGAGAGTACAACCCAACGCCGTATGAGGGCGAGGGCGGGCGAGGCTGGTGCATCTTTGAGCAGGGCGTTGCGATGACGGTGCTGGCGCACCTGACGGCGGCGGAGAGGCAGGCGGAGGAGAAGGGAAAGGCGCTGCCGAGGCGCTTCCAGAGGGCGCAAGCGAGCCGTGCCAAAGTGTACGACATCGCGGGGGCGGTGCCGGTGGCACGCGAGTGCTCCCTGTCGCCAAAGCAGGTGCTCGACGAGGCGTGCCGCGCGATCGAGAAGGCGCGCTTCACGGGCAAGGCGGACAAGGTGATGGTGCCGCAGATGCTGGCCGAGTTTGAGTGGAGCTTCCGCAGCACGTTTGAGCAGGCGCTCGAGGACTATGCGAAAAGCGGCGCGACGATTGGGCGGAAGGAGCAGGAGGCGATAGGTAGGGAAGCTACGGAGCAGCGGCGTAGACAACAGGATGATGACGCTCAGGACACCGATGTAACGGAGACAGTGTAGAATGGCACACAACGAACGGCGAGGACAGAAAGGAGCACGAATTTCTTTTTTATGTGTGTGTTATGCAAAAGAGGGACGGCTCGATTGGACGGTCTGGGTGGACGGCTCGCTTGGTTGAGCATAAAAACGGCGGTTTGGGATGGGCGGCCTCGAATCACGGTCACGTCGGCGAGGACAGCATCGGCGTAAGAGGATGTGTATCGCGCGCCTTGCGGGGGGGGGCGCGGAAGAGTCCGCCGGCTCACCGAGGACAGCCCTCTGTGACTGTGCTCCAGCTAACCAGCTCTGCATCTCGCAACACATACATGACAGGGACAGACCAGGCGCAGGAAAACGAGGGAGCGGGGCCCGAATCCAAGGGACCGCCCCGCGTCGGTCGGAGGAGCTCCGAAGCGGAGAAAGCGGGGATCCTTGTCACGCCGGCGGGGAATGCAAGTCGAGGGACTGCTATGATTTGATAAAACCTCCTGTATCTTCCCCACCTGGGCGGGGCGGGGGCCGGGGGGGGCGGCGGGCGCGGGTGCTGGTTGCGGGAAACACCTACATCAATAGTCTCATCACCGAGTGATTGCTGGCCTGTGGCGTATGACCTCGCGCGGATATCACCAACGACGAGCATGCGAAGATATTGAGCACTATCCGATGGACTTGTACAGCCCGCTGTGCTCTCCGCTGTGCCACGGCGTATGATGGGCTGCGAGAGCCGTATCTTCCCTCCTTGAAGCAGAGGCGCCGCGAGGCACGAGAGGCGTAGAAGAGAGGCTGGCGTGCCCCGCACCGCCCGGTTGGCAGTAGGAGGCCCCGCCGGTGAGACCACTGATTTTGATGCCGACCATAAATTCTCGCAACTCGAACGCATGCTACTTACAGCTGCTGTCTGTACAGAGATGCCAGCACCCCCCACAGGCAGAGCGCTGCTGCTGGGGGGGGGGGTCCCGACCTGGGGGGGGGGGGTCCCGACCCCCCCAGCAACAAAACGCTGCTGCTGGGGGGGGGGGTCGGCCATGGGCTTAGGTGTGCAGGGGGGGTACCGACCGAGCAGTGTGCGGCCGCTCCTGCGTGCACCTCGATCCTGTACCGTGTTTGTTATGACCCCCCCAATGAACAGCCTGAGGGAGGGCGAGACGATCGAGGGGTCCCGTACCACGCGGAATCGACCCTATCCAGTGCTCAAGTGCTCGAAGGCGCTCTCAAAAAAAGAAAAAAATCCTGGAGACGTCTCCTGACCTCACGACGAACCTCACGCTGCTGCACGCTGTGCACGTCTCCTGCCAAAGTGATCGCCTTCTGAGCATGGGCTGCTTCTCCAGCCGCGTCGAGACCCCGACCGAGGAGCTGCCCGGCCCTCCCGCCGTCGAACGCGACGCCCCGACGCCCGCCGACACCGCCGCGCCGACGCAGCCGGACGCCACCCTCCCCTCCGCCACCGATCTCGGCGTGGACAAGCGTCAGCTGTTGATGTGGCGCAGAAATAACGGCGACTCCTTGGAGCCGGTCCTCGCGAGCGGCGCCGTCGCCCTCCTCGACGCGCAGTGGATCATCAGCCACGCCGAGGCGGGCGGCGTCCTCACCCACCGCCAGGCGCTGCCCAAAGAGGCCTTCCTCTCTCTCGCCGACCTCGTCGAGGCGTGTTTCAGTTGCAACTCTGCGCTTCCCGTTGCCGCGCTCTCCTACCCGTGGCTGACCAAGGACCACCCCGACCCGTGCGGAGCCAATCTCAGCCGCGTCGCACGGGTGCTCAAGCTTTTCCTGGGCAACCGCCAAATACCCTTGTCGCGGCTCGGCGTCTTTTGGGACTTCGGTTCGCTGCACCAGCACCCGGACCCCGTCAACGGCGTCATGCGCACCGAGGAGCAGAACGCGCTCTTCAAGCAGGGGCTGGGCTGCCTCGGCACGCTCTACTCCCACCCGCACACTTTCGTGCTGCGGCTGACCTCCTTCCCGGACGGCCACAAGGCGGAGGACCAGGCCGAGGGTACCAACGTGGCCAAGTACTTCGATCGCGGCTGGTGCGCCACGGAGAACGCCTGGGCGAGCCTGACCAAGCGCAGGGAGCTCTCGCTCGACCTCGGCTTGATGCGCGACGGCAAGGAGTACGACTTCCTCAGCCTCATGTATGACTGCATCCAGCACGGCGGCCGGCGCCCTCCTCTCCTGCCGTCTCAATTCGCGGCGGAGCTGGAGACGAAGAGCTTCACCAACGGCAAGGACGACAAGCCGCTCGTCAAGCGGCTGTACGAGGCCGCCTTCGAGGAGCAGTTTGGCAAGGTGACCGAGCTGCACTACGCCGAACTCGGCTGGGGCGACGCGGGGGCGGCGCAGCTGGCGGAGGTCCTCGCGAGCGGGGCAGCGCCGCGGCTCGAGACGCTCAATCTCCTCTACAACGAGATTGGCGACGAGGGCTGCCAGGCGCTGGCCGCCGCCCTCAAGGGGGGGGCTGCCCCGAGCTTGAAGGCGCGGGAGACTCACCCTCAGTACAAGAGCCCTTGGCGCCAACCCTCCTTGACCCCCCTCACGCACGCTTACTGTAGAGGCTCGAGGTGACAACGGAGCTGGCGGCCATATACAGGGAGCAGGTGCCGCCCGTGTACTACCAGAAAACAACTGAAAACGGCACGTACTGCTACGTCGGAGGCACGCCAGAGTGCGAGGCGCTGGTGGCCGTGTGCGAGGAGCGCGGCATCGAACTGCCCATGGATTTGTACTACTCCAGCGCCTCCCGAAGTAAACTGGGCGGCGCGGAGGCGGCGCAGTTGGCAGGGGTCATCGCGAGCGGGGCAGCGCCGCGGCTCGAGGCGCTCTCTCTTTTCCACAACCAGATTGGCAACACTGGCTGCATGGCACTGGCCGCCGCCCTCGCCAAGGAAGGGGCAGCGCCGCGGCTCAAGCAGCTCGATCTCCGCAGCAACAAGATTGGCGACGAGGGCTGCGATGCGCTGGCCGCCGCCCTCGGCAAGGAGGGGGCAGCGCCGCGGCTCGACCAGCTCTCTCTCGGCGACAACGAGATTGGCGACGAGGGCTGCAAGGCGCTGGCCGCCGCCCTCGGCAAGGAGGGGGCAGCGCCGCGGCTCGAGTATCTCGGTCTTCGCGAGAACAAGATCGGCGACGAGGGCTGCGATGCGCTGGCCGCCGCCCTCAAGGAGGGGGCCGCCCCGAGCTTGAAGGCGCGAGACGCCACCCTCGCCACTCGCCCCTCCCCTGTCCAATGCTCATCGCCCCTCCCCTCGCGTGCAGACGCTCGGCTACACGCGCCAGGCCGCCGTCGCCGCCCGCGAGGGGACGACCATCGTGTGCGACGTGGGCAACGAGAAGCAGCCTGAGCTGATGGCCGTGTGCGAGGAGCGCGGCATCAAGCTGCTCTGAGCCTCTCAAGCGCCTGGGCGCGGGTGGCGGCGCCCGGGTCGGCAGCGCTGGCGAACGCGCCCGGGACGGGTATTTTTCGCTTCGCTGCGCGGCCTGGGAATAGGTAGGTAGGTGGGGCACGGAGCCTGGCGATTGGCGCCCGCAATAGGTAGGTAGGTAGGGCGTTTTGGTGCGAGTCGCATAGGCAACAGACCCCCTTCTGGGTAGGAGCCGGAACCCAGTGTTGTGCGAGGGAGTTTTGTTCCAAAATTCTTTTCGCACGCGGAGGGAGGCGCTGTTAGCAGCGGCGGAGCGGGAGGCGAAGGCGGCCGCGCGGGCGGCGGAGAAGGCGGCGCGGGCAGCAGAGGGGGGGAAGGGCGGCGGCAGCGGGCGGCAGTCCCGCGAGGCACGCCGGCGGAAGGGTTCGTCTTCGCGGGGCGGGGTGCGCACTGCGCGCCGCGAGGATGAGGAGCCTGAGCCAGGGGAGGGTTGGGAAGGGGGGGCGAGGCCGGAGGAGTATGACGGCCTCTTCGACGGCCCATAAGGGGCCGTTGTCTGCTGTGCCTTTTGTGGTGCTAGTTCGTGCCAGTCTGCTGTGAGAGGGGCTTGTATTCGTAGAATTCTTTTCGCTTGTCTGCTGAGATAGATAGTTTTTATTCTTTTCTCGCGATGTCCCCCGCCGCGCCGCCGCTCGCGCCGCCTCGCCCCCGTCACCACCGCCGCTCCCTCGCCAGGCACGCCACCGCCCACCAGCCTCCTCGACCTCCCCACGGAGCTCCTCGCGCGCGCCCTCTCTCGCTGCAACAGCCCCGCCGACATCGCTCGCGTCGCGGCCGTCTCGCTTCTCTTTCACGCCTCGCTTGCGGTGGAGGCCATCCGCTTATGGGCGCAAGAGCGCGGCTTCGAGCTGCCAGCGCAGCCAGAGGGCGAGGGCTGCGCCGTGCGGTGGCTGTGCTTCGCTGCGCTGCTGTACGAGTCCAACCCGCCGGCGAGGGCGGCGGCAGGCATGCAGCACAGCCTTTTCATCGACGGCGAGGGGCGGCTCTCGTCGTGCGGCTCGGCGCCGCTTGGCCACGGCGGCAACCAAGGGCTGCTTGGCCACGGCGAGGGCGTGACGCAGCTCAACACACCGACCCGCATCCCGTCGACGCTGGGCGGCGAGCGTGCCGTGAGCGTGTCGGCTGGCGCCGCGCACAGCCTCGCCCTCACCGCCGGCGGCGCTGTCTGGAGCTGGGGCGAAGGAGCCTGGGGCAAGCTGGGCCACGGCGACCAGCAGAACCAGCTGCTGCCGAAGAAGGTCGAGGCCTTCGCGGGTCAGCGCGTCGTCGCTGTGTCGGCTGGAGAGCACCACAGCATCGCCCTCACCGCGGACGGGGCAGTCTGGAGCTTTGGCTTTGGACACTTTGGCCAGCTAGGCCACGCACAGGACCAGTGGCAGCCAAAGAAGGTCGAGGCCTTTGCGGGTCAACGCGTCGTCGCTGTGTCGGCTGGACAGCACCACAGCATCGCCCTCACCGCCGGCGGAGCAGTCTGGAGCTTTGGCTTTGGACACTTTGGCCGGTTGGGCCACGGCGACCAGCAGCACCAGCTGCTGCCCAAGCAGGTCGAGGCCTTGGCTGGGCAGCGCGTCATCGCTGTCTCGGCGGGGAACTTCCACAGTCTCGCCATCACCGCCGACGGCAGTGCCTGGAGCTGGGGCGGTGGAGCCATTGGCCAGTTGGGCCACGGCGACGAGGAAGGCCAGCTGCTGCCGAAGAAGGTCGAGGCCTTGGCTGGGCGGCGCGTCGTCGCTGTCTCGGCAGCGAGCAGCCACAGCCTCGCCCTCGCCGCCGACGGAGCTGTCTGGAGCTGGGGCGGTGGAGGCCTTGGCCGTTTGGGCCACGGCGACGCGCAGGGCCAGCTGCTGCCCAAGAAGATCGAGGCCTTTGCTGGCCAGCGTGTCGTCGCTGTGTCGGCTGGAGAGAACCACAGCCTCGCCCTCACCGCCGGTGCCGTCTTTACCTGGGGCAAAGGCGAGCGCGGCTGCCTAGGCCACGGAGAGGACCTGTCGAACCAGCTGCTGCCCAAGAAGGTCGAGGCGTGGGCGCCGGGGCAGTGAGCAGGAGGGTGTGGGTGCGGGCGGCGAGGAGCTTAGGGCCCGTCTGGTGCTCGCGAGCTGCGCCGCCGGCGCGGCGAGCAATGCGCGTTTGCACATGTCTTTTGACGTGCACAGAGTGCACCCCTACCCTGCCGCACTGCCTGCCCGCTGACTGCCGCACAACTGCCCCTGCCCGATTCCCTACCTGCCCCGGGTGTGGTGGTTTGTGGGAGTAGTCGGTCCAGGGTCGTCTTGCGGGGCTTGTCCGGAGTTGTGTGCGGGGTACGAGCACGCGCCTGTGCGTGGCACCGCGGCATGGGTCCATGTGGAGAGTCTTTGAGTAGTGCGCGTTGCGGCTGCTCTCTAGATGTTGATTTGGATTTGATTGTGTATAAGAAGCCCGCACGGAGGGGGGGGGGGGGGGTCCTCGAGGGTTTCGTTCAGTCAGCCCGGACGCCGGAGAGCCCGCTGCGCGCTGCCCCGCGGCGCGCTCGCGCGGTCGCGCGGTGTCTACCCTCCTGCTCATGGTCTCCGCCCCCCACCTCTCCCTCATTCTCTCTGCCCAGTCTTCTCTTTTATCGACACTGGATCTCCGAAACAAGGGCCTCAAAAGCAAGCCGCTGGAGTCAAATCTCGCCGTATCCACTCGGCGTGCAATTGTGACCTGCCATACAGCAAGGACATCACGCGGCCGGGCTGGACTTCTCGGCAATGTTCTTGAGCTCGCAGAGGTTGTTAATCACGGACATCATTGCCAGCTCGACCAAACGATCTTGGAACAGGTTGTCAGTCATGAAGATAAAGTTGTCGGTCATCCCCAGCTTCTTGCAGGCCTCCAGGTAGAAGCTGATGTTCTCTCTCTGGACGGCCGGCTGGGTTGTTGACCGAGGCAACTTGCAGACGCCTGTCTTGATCTTGTTGGCGAGCTGGCATAGGACGACGCCCGACTGCAACACCTTCTGGAGCTCAAGGGCTCCCAGACCGTCCTCCAGCTTTACACCCAAGACCTTCTCGATCCACGTGCGCACTTCCTGTTCTTTAGCGAAGTCGTACTTCTTCTTGGCCTACAAGCGTGATCGGCAGAGGCTCAACAGAGCGGTCGTCGTGAGATAGGGCTACGTGGCAACCGCACGTTGTCCGCGATGTCTTTATCCAGACCGAAATTCCCGTCCTCGGTCGGCTGAACGTAAACCCCGTGGTTGACCTACGAGTGCAAGGACGTAACTAGCACAGCCAACTGGGTTCGCGTCCCACCGCTGCCATCATACCTGCTTGTCCTGGGCGGCTTTGGGGGTGTAATCCGTCATCTCGACGGCGGCTGTCGATGGTGTCTGCAAATGGGACGTGCGCGGCGGCGTTTTTGAAAGTTTTTCTTTTTTGAGAGCGCCTCGTTCGATCGTATCGTCGACCGCCACCGCCAGCCGCGCGCTGTACAGCATGATGGGCGCCCCGGGTGGCCACCTCCCCGCCCCTACCTCAGCTAGCACCGAAGGCGACGTTACTCGCCCCGCCACCTTCCTGAGGCCGCGCAGGACCGTCGCCGCAGCCTCCGCCTCGAGCCTGGGCCGCTGCGCCGCGTCCCCCGTGAGCAAGCGGCCATGTAGCTCGGCGACGACCTCGCCCACCTTCTCGACCTCGAGCTTCCGCAGCGCCGCCACCAACCCCTCCATGGGCAGGGCTTGCGCCCACTGCTTCAGCGACCTCCACTCGCACTCGAAGCTTTGCTCGACGACATCCTCCGTCACGCCGTGTCCCACGTAGAAGTTTTTCTCTCTTTTCTCTCAGTGCGCGCCTGTCCCGTGCCCAGTGTCGTGCGAGTTTTGCTTTGCTTTCTTAATTTTGGGGGTGGTCCTAAATAACTAAATAAAAGATTCTTTTTTTTTCGCCGAAACAGTGATGGCAGGTGTCTCTCTCGGAGCGCCTCCTTTGAGCCCGGCCGACGAAGGGTCCGATGGCACAAACGGGGTGTACGAGGCGATCGAGGATGAGCCAATTACCGGGGACAACACGAACAATGGGGTGGAGACAGGTCGTGGGGACCAGGCAACAAAATCAGCGCCTAAATACCAGTGGAGTTCAGCGAGGACTGCAGGAGAGGTGGAGTCAAAGGGGCGAGGAGGGTTGGGAAAGGAGATTGATCAATGGTTTATGGATGGAGAGATGGACATACAAAAAGGCTTTGAGCAGTGCAGCGGGCAGCGGGCAGCGGGCAGCGGGCAGCGGGCTGCGGGCTGCGGGCTGCGGGCTGCGGGCTGCGGGCTGCGGGCTGAGGGCAGTGAGGGGCGTGGGGCGTGGCGTGAGCGCGCGTGGAGGGATGAATTGACAGATGCAACAAACGGGGTTCGAACGAGGAGCCAGCTGGTGGTGGAGCGGTCAACCAACCCACTATGCCAGCCAGGGGCCTCTGCTGTTAAGTGCTTATGCGGTCAGGTGGTTGGATGATGGGTGCTTGTCAATATTGGTCGGGTCAATGAGGAGAATGGTGGAAAACTGTGAGCGAGGGATGGACTGGCATACAGTGCGAATGCTACCCATTCTCAAGAGTGGAAAGGACCCAACGAGAGAAAGCTCGTACCGTCCGGTGGGAGTGCAACAGCATGATCAGGGAGTGGATGAAGGGATGTACACTTCGGAGATAACTACCAAGGTGGATGATTGGAGAACGGTGCTTAATAATGGGTATCGGGAGTGTCGGACCTGTGCCTCCGTGATCCTGTTCTCGAGAGGACTAGGCGAGGTGGCTCGGACGCGGCGGCTGCAGACTGCGAGGGGATTCGAGGATGCGGTGTCGTTCTTTGACCAGATATCTTTTGAGCTACTTGATGTAGGAATGAAGACAATTGGTGTACCTGAGGCTGTCGGTCGTCGAGCCCTACAGCTGCGGAAGAATATGGAGCTGGAAATACAGACTGCGGGAGGGGTGGTTGGAGTCAGGTGCTGCAACGGGACTGGACAAGGAACCAATGCTGCGGCAATCCTCTCCATCTTGCCTCTGGAGCTCAAGACAAGATTCATTTCAAGGATGATGCCTGGTGAGGTGATGGTTGCGAGGAAAGTGCTACGGAGGAGTGTGGGTGTCAAGGCGCACTGTGACGACACGAGTTATGCTTTCACAGGGGTGTGGGGACCTATCAAGCTGGAGGGGGCGACAGCTGCTGGGTGGGTAGCGAGCGAGTTAATCCAGGGGATTCCAAACGGAGCAGCAAAATCAGGGGTGAGCGTGCAGGAGTGGGATGGAACGGATGTGGAAGGGAGGTGGGGGATAGTTCTGCCGAGTGGGGGAGGCAACGACTTGACGAGCTGGAACAGGGTTGATGACAAGAGAGATCCATACGTGACGCTCGGATTTCCGGAGACTGGCGCGATAAACTACAAGATGGCTGATGTCAAGTCTATTCACAATATTCGTGTGCTTACTCGGGTGGCTTCCAATGCCGGAGGAGCTGATGTTGCGGAGCAGCGAGGTATTCTAACGATGGCATCAGCGGGAAATCGGGGGTACTATCAGAGGGGAGGGACGATAGGTCGGCAAGAGTCGAAGGCAGTGGACGTTGCAAACAGAGGCATTCTAAAAGGGCGTGGGATTATCCGGAACAATACCCTCACCAAAGACACCACACACTCTGCCGACGAAATCGAAAACGCTCGCCTAGGGCAGGCCGCCCGGCCCGGCCCTCGCCACTGACGTATACGGTGGGTTTTCAGCAAGTGCTTCAGCCCCCATTCGCGAGAGACACCAAGCACCATCGCGAGAGACACCACCAAGCACCACCCACCCCACCCACCCACACCTGGCGAGTAGCCACCCACACCTGGCGAGTAGAGGCACACGCACGCTCTCTCGAGGTCTCTCTTGGACCAGGAGGACGCCAAGCTGCAAATTATATAACCGCAGCGTCTTCAGTCCCTTCCGATTACCTAGGGCCGAACAGGCCGTCAAGGCGTCGCGTCTCTCTTCTCCTCGTACGCAGACGATGAAGCAGCCCTTCCTCCTCGTTCTCACGCTCGCGGCGACCCACGGCGAGTCGGAGGACGCAGCCTCGAGCAAGTCCTGCCCCTGCAGCCCTCTGTCGGGGATTCGCTGCCTCTTCTGCACGACGATCCACTTGCGCCTCGACTGCATCGGCGAGTGCTTTTCGCCTCCTCCTCCTTCTCCTTCGCCTCCTCCTTCGCCTCCTCCTTCGCCTCCTCCTTCGCCTCCTCCGCCGCCTCCTCCATCGCCTCCTCCATCGCCTCCTCCATCGCCTCCTCCATCGCCTCCTCCATCGCCTCCTCCATCGCCTCCTCCATCGCCTCCTCCATCGCCTCCTCCATCGCCTCCTCCTCTTCAGACACCGTGCAGCATCATCCAAGACGAATTTTTTCTACCCGACGACGTTAACTACACGTGCGGCAATGGCTCGACCAAGACGAAGATCTTCTATCCAGCGGGGCCGCTGCCCACTACCACAAAGTACCCGGTGGTCATGTTTCACCGTGGCACCAACGGCTACAGGCACAAACCACCCGATGTGAATGGGACAGGGTATGACGCGTGGCTAGCGACCGTTGCGATGGAATGCCTTATCGTCATTGCGCCCGAAACCGACGGAGGGTACAAGCCAAACGACAAAAAAGACAAAAAATACTGCCTGAGGGACAAAGACCTGCTCATCGCCATGGAGTGGGCCAGAGCGAACCTTACCTTACTTTACCCGTCGTTGAAGGCTGACTGGGATAATGTCGGCGCAATGGGGCACTCCGCAGGAGCCCACCACCTGCCGAAATTTGTCGAAGACGCTAATAGCACCCTCAGTGTCGACATCAAGGCTACGGTCTTCTCTCACGGCGGCGACGATTTGCAACACAACCTGTCTTACGATAAACCGTCCTTCTTCCTTACCGCGAATGGCGATAACAGAGCTCAAACAGTCTTCCCTACCGCGAATGGCGATAACAGATCTCATACAAAGAAGAGCCCGCACTGCACAACGCCGGAATGCTCGTATGCCTGGTTCAGGGGCATGAATGCGACAAACAAAGTCTTTGCCAACATGCAAAAAGGAAATCATCATGAGCCGCACACGCACCACCAGTTTGCAAACTGGACCGGCATATTTCTCGCATGCCATCTGTACCCGTTGGGGTCGAAGACACGGGCGGCGACATGCCCTCGCATTTACGATGTCACGCCTGAGATTTGCAATCAATCATCTGTGTCGCAAGACGGCCCGGAACCTTGGAACGCGCCTTGGCCGCCACTTTCCGAGGCTTGGGACGCGATACGCAACGACTCGAGGTCCTTGGATAAGTCGGGGATGGACGTGACACAAGCTTGGAACGTGCCTGGATGCGAGGTCCTCGGGTCGGCGCCACCGTAAGAGACGCAACTGCGTAAGCAAGTGCACATCCGCCCCCGCCCCTTTGTCCACTACTTTTGGCGGTCCAAAAACTGTCCGTCACCATTCCTGTTCATGTGCTGTCTCGCAGCCCCCGCCCACTTTTCCCCCATTCCTGTTCATGTGCTGTCTCGCAGCCCCCGCCCACTTTTCCCCGCGACGTCCGTTGTATATTGTGTTATCCCCCTCAAGGCAATTCAATCGACTGGTTCCACTTCCTACACATACAAGTTTTTCGAACCTTCAACCTACGACCCCACATACGTGATACACGACTCACGAGATCACATGACACATCACCCCGCAGCGCCGGCCCGCCCCCCGACCGCACTGAATACGGCACAGCCTCCGGCAGCGCCCGGGGCTTCGCCCAGCACCACTCGCAACAGCTCTCGCGCGCCGCCGTCTGTGGCGACGCGCAAAACATCAGCAACATGCGTGTCGCGCACTCATTCATGGCCGGTCTCAATGTCCCACCCCCCTGCGCGCGGGCCTAGTTCTATAGGCCCGCGGGTAGTCTCCCCCCATCCCCAGGGCCTCCAGGGCTCGCACCTCAGCCTCTCACAGACGTCTCGCTCGGCATTTTCGCGCACACATGGCCCACTAGCGCCTCTGCCTAGCAAAAACCGGGCACTGCGCGTCCAACGGGCACCGCGAACTAGTTCATGAACCGGGTTCACGGTTCACCTCGTGAATGAACTGAGAGGCCTGTGTCCCACAAGGTAAACTCCCAGTTCCGCAGCCATCCCCTCTTCTCTTTCCGGCCTAGGCGGGGCGGTGGGCGCGTGCGCGGCCGCGGTGCGGTTTGGGGTCTGTGACGGACTCAAAAAAATTCCGAAATCACAATCACGTCACGTGCATAAGTTTGAGACGCGCTTGCAGCGACTTGCCAAGCGCTCGATGTCTAGCCGTGGCCGCTCCTCCTCCTGCCTGTGCTCTGACGTGAGCGTCAGCGTCACGGAAGCCCTCGTCACTGCTGGTGCGACGGGCGGGTATCTTCTCTCTCCCGGCGGTGCCAGCCTCGAGAAAGGTGCGCGAGCCGCGCCTGCGCGCGTGCGGCGGGCCGTGGGGGTCGGTGCGGCTGCGCCGGGGCAGCGAACGGCCTGCTGGAAAGGCCGTGAGAGGCGCTCACCACCGGGCGCTCGACGCCAAAGAATTCTACGAAGCCAAAGAAAGCGGCGGCCGCCGAGCCAGATCACGGTCGAGCGCGTCGAACGAACCTGTCCGGAGCGCAGCGGCCGTGACCGTGGCGGTCAGGAGGCATGCTCACATACGCGGACCGTCGCGGTACGAGGCAGGCATCGGCGGCGCGACCCTCGACATGCGAAGATGTACTCTCGCCCCGCGAGGTCTCTTGGGTCGTCTTTCCAGCCCAGCGCTCGGTGAAAAATGCTGGCGCGGGCAGCTCGCCCGGCGGCGCGACGAGCCGCGCTTGGGCCGTTGCGGCGTGTTGCGGGATCGCAGAGGGCCATGGCTGCGGGCTTCACCCCTCCCAAATACCACACCGACTTTGCACCGGACCTCGTCGTGGAGGGCATCCCCGACGACCCGCTCTCGCAGCCAAAGGTGGCGACGCCCTCACTGCCCGCGCACGCGCCTGGTCGTCGTTGTCTCTGCGCAGCCCGCGCGCTCGGCCGTCGCCGCCGCGTCCGCCCGGCGCGCGCACACGCCCTCCCTGCGCGCGCGCCACAGGTGTACGAGAAGGAGATTTGGGACAACCCCGACATGCTGGTGCGCACCCGCCCGCCGAGCCCACACCCCCCACATCCCCCACACCACCACCAACACCACCCCACACACATCTCCCCCCGCCCGCCCGCTTCCGGGACCTGCGTGGCAGTCGCAGCTGTACCAAACGCTTCGCCGCCACTCTGTTCCCCCATCCCAAACCCGCAACCACCGCTCTGCTCCCCTCCCCCCATCCGCCGCCGGCGCCCGCTGCCGCCTCCCGCGCGAGTCTCCGCATGCTCCGCGCCCGCCGCGCCCGCCGCTCCCCCACCTCCG